CAGTCAGCCTGCTCTATCATGACCTCGATGAACTGCCACATTCTTCCACGCCCTCCTTCGATGTCTCCGATGCCCACCGACCCGATCAGGCACACTGCGTCGACTGGCAACTGACCTGCCTATCGGACTTCTTGTCGATCGAGTTGAGCACCGTTCAGGAGATCGTGGATCGTTCCAAAGATTGGACCTCCAGCCTGCCTGAACCTGATTGTCGGCTGGCGGATATGCTAGCTCAACGACTCACCGTTGAACTGAAACAGATCAATTCGCTGGTGGAGCGACGTGTCGTCGCCTTGCGCGAATTCGCAGACAAAGTTAAGGGCCTGTCGCAGCGTCTTACTGCCGAGGAGTCCTGGGGTCGGGAATTCGTCACCACTGCTCTTGGTGGAGCGATTCCCAAGCAGGCTCCGAACAACCTTCAAGAAAAACAGGAACAAGTTCGCAACCTTGAGGTAAGCAGCCGTTGCTCTTGTGTTTTTAATCTACCGATGTATGTTTAATTAATAACAACAGCCTCGCGCTTCTCGACCTTCTACATCTTATTCTCTCCCTCTCAACGTTTCCAGTTTCTTCCATGTTGACCCCTGTTTGGAAGGGAGAGAAATTAATGCAAAATAGCACGATTTGGAAGCCGAGAATCTGACCATTCGAGAGTAGAGATTTCTCATATTTCCCCCACCCCTCCTCCCTGACCATAATGCAGGTGAATTTTTATTCAAATCCATGGAAATTCGGGTTAAGTTTAAGTTAGGGTTAGGGTTAATATTAGGTGTACCGAGTAGGCTTAGTTTAAGGTTAGTGTTAGCCTTAGTATAGGAAAATATTTGCCCTTTCTAGTGCAAGGATACCTGTATTATAAAGGGTATTCTTATTCCTGGGTATACAATCAGTTCCGAACCATTCGAGTCGTCCTATAACTTTTGCTAATAAAAAAAGAGGGCGGTGACAAGAAACCTAACTCGGCCATGTATAGACTCCGAGGAAATTAATCCGCGAACTTGAAGAAAGTCCTTTCGGAACAAACCCCTCCCTAGCTCAGCCTGAAAGCTGATTTGAAGTCCTTCGTCCCGTTTTGCCTAGAGACTCTCTCTCTCGAGCCCCGCCAGCAGCCGCACAGCGGCTTCTAGTTTAGACAGATTAACATTACCGGATACTGGAACGGACATTTCCGGCTCATTGGTCGTCATCAGCCAGTCATGCACAACCCAATCCCAGTTGGTGCATCACCCGAGACTCGAGCCCGCTACCTGGCGATTAGACGTCCAACGCCCTAAACACCGAGCCACAAACTCGTTATCTTGCCGGTTTAGCCGGGACATATTAACATTCTTTGATAAATGCTCACCAGTCGCTAACGAAACTCGCTTGTACCGTTTTGCTTCGTGTGAGTTCTGTTGCCGAGAAGACTGTCCGTAGGGATGAAGAGAACTTAACTAGAAGGTACTGCACTAAGAGGAATCGCCCGCACACAGGCGAGCCCCATCCTCAATGTGGGGATTTTGTCGTCCATGATTCCTCAACCGCCCTCTCAGAGCACCGTCAACTCATTTTTAACGACCGCTGGTGTTTCTTAGTTCCTCTGCGGCAACCTTTGTTGAGTTATTCAACAAGTCACGGAAGTTAACGACTTCCTTTGCAGTCCGCAAAGTCAGGTAAACCGACCTACCTACTTGATGGACGCCCTTTCCGAAGGACACTGTGCTGGTTGGACACCGAGATCGCTTTCCTTACCAGATGCGCCAGCTGTGGTACCAGTTGCCATCCCTAAGAGGAAAATATTGACAGAAATTCTGAAAGGGAGGAATATTACGTTCTTTAATTTCTGCGAAAATAAATACGCGAATATGGAGGAAATCCTTCGGAACAAACCTGCTCAGGTTCGGTCCGAAAGTGCCTATGATTAGTTGGGCTGAAATCCATCAGTTGGCCGGCTGGTTGGTGACGGCTAATAAGCTAGAAATCATTATTCCAGTCTCCCTTGCTTATGTCGGTAATATATTTCTGCCTCTAATATATGCTAGCCGTTGAGTGCCTGCTGGCAGGGCTCTGAGGCATAACGGGACGAGTGAGTTCCGTAACCGATCGGTGAGTGCCTATCTGCCATTGTGTATATTCCTGATCGAAACTGGCAAGGCAACGAGCCCGTGGTGCAGTAGATTAGAGCGTTGGACTTGGGTAACAAGGTCGAGGATTTGAGTTTCGGGAGTCGCTATCCTAGGATTGGGTAGAACTGTCTCATGATGACTAATAAGTCAGAAACGACCACTCCAATCTCCGTTGTCTTTGTCGATACTGTATTTCTGCCTATATATATGTATGTATATATTACATGTTGATAAATTAGAATCGATGAAGACAAGGGAGACCGGAATGGCCATTTCTGGCTTATTAGTCATCATCAGCCAGTCA